AGTTTGCAAAGTTGTCATTGTTTTGTGGTTCACAACTGAACTCTATCGATGGGTTGACTAAAACTTCAGTTGTAGAGGGGTTGTTAGGAAGCTCTGAGGTGGTGATAATCTCCTCAATCCTTGAGGAATGTCCTCCAGCACCTCCAGCTCCAGTGCCAAAACTGTGGCTGAGCATCGGCATGTCGAGCAACTCCATGTAGAAGGGATTCTTCTGAAAGCGAACCTGGTGAATCTTGAAAAAGTCAAAGATGTCCTCGCTCAGGTGGTAGACTTCGGTGAGGTTGCTCATCAGCTGGTAGAAGCACTCATCCGCCTCACCCGGCGAGGTGTACTTGATGCGAAGGTACCGATGCAGCAGGCGGTAGTAGCGGTGATATTCCTCTCTGATAACAAAAAAAGTTTAATTTAAAACTAGTTTGTTAAGAATGGCAACGAACTTACTGAATCGACTGATCATGTTCGTACTCAGTCCTAGGAGTGAAAAGAATGAGCGCCGTGAGAATGTCAAAGATGATTCGATCTTCTCGCCATTCATCTCTAAAGCGACCTGGAAGTGCTCGGTGTCGCTGGTAGCCGTACTTGTGACAGTACGGGGCAATGCTGGCCGTCGGAAACATCACCGATATTTGGTAGTTGTCCTGCGCGACAAAAAAAGTAAGCCAAAGTTCATCGCCAAAAAGCAACACTGTCTTACATCAACAAACGCCCAGGCATCTCGGTACTCGCTGTACATCAGCACCGAATTAAGCACCATCATCTCAATGAGGCCGTGCTTCAGCAGCGTTCCCTGCATTTCTTTGGTCTTTGAGGCAAAGCCATTCAGCTGCTTGGCCATTCTAATCAGCCTAAAGAGAATAAACTCCGTCATTCGGCCGGTGTACTCCGGGTCAAGCTGGGCAAATTCCCGTATTCGCTTGTAAGGATTTTTCAGCAGTTCGCCGGCTGAGTGGACCTCATTGAGGAGGTACTTTTCCGGCAGNACCGTGCTTCAGCAGCGTTCCCTGCATTTCTTTGGTCTTTGAAGCAAAGCCATTCAGCTGCTTGGCCATTCTAATCAACCGAAAGAGAATAAACTCCGTCATTCGGCCGGTGTACTCCGGGTCAAGCTGGGCAAATTCCCGTATTCGCTTGTAGGGATTCTTTAGCAGTTCGCCGGCTGAGTGGACCTCATTGAGGAGGTACTTTTCCGGCAGCAACAACTCATCCTCGGGAAAACCAATTTCTGGTGGAATAGAAGCGGCAATGGCGGCGGTTGAGGAAGAAGTTATCCTCTGAAAGGACCTTGAAGCCGCCTGAACAAAGGGAATAAAGTTCAAGATGAGGTCGTATTTGCTGGGTGGACCGTTGTTGTTGTAGGCGATTAACTCTTGATTTGAAGAGGATGACGGGGAGTACGAAGACGGAGAAGATGATGAAGAAAAAGAGTAGGAAGAGGAATTTTCCGAGTACTCTGTGTTTGAACCAGAAGCAGGCATGTTCACTGGAAAATCGAGAATCTGCTCAATATCTGAAAGACATTCAAACGCCTGATCTCCAAATGCCTCCAAATATCGATCCAGGTCAAGTGGGTCCACTGGGGAGCATCCTTCTTTTTGTTCAGTTTTTGGTTCAATTGATTTAGGTGTTTGCACTCCTGCCGATCCATTAGGTTTGAAGAAGCCAATAAAGTCGGACATTATCTGCTCATCGATGGAATCTTTAACAGCTGTTGAAGAGGATGTAGCAGCTGTTTTGTTTTTGAATGAGAGCGAGTGAAGAATGGCTCCTACTTCTGATTCACTTCGCTGGTATTTCTCCGTCGCCCGGCGAATTGCCTCGTCAAACTCCTTTTGCTTTTGCTCCCTGTTCCGTCTTATTTTACTCTTTAGTGCTTCCCGTTCATCTTCGTTGAGGATCAGTTCCTAGATAAACAAAAACTAAAAATGTTAGTTTTGTTCAACAGTGTTTACCAAGGGTCAGCTTACCCGTTTCATTCCCGCTTCGTATGCTTTGCTCAGTCGGCACTGCAACCAATTAAATTGTTTTAATTTCTTAAACAAAATTGTGTTGCCTAGTTTTACCTTAGCGCAGAACTTCCTTGTTAGAGAATTGATTTCACATTTGCCTGAAAACGGACACCGAAATTGCTAAAGAAAAAATTAGTATTTTGCATTAGAATTTCTAATTTGTAATTTTTTTCGCATACTTTATCTTTTCGATTGGCATTTCTTCTGAAAAAGGCTTTACATGAGAGGCAACCTGATTATCAAAAAGTAAATTAAAATTTTTATTATGATTTAAAAATCAAAAACATACTCGGTGCTCCAAAGTTGATTCCTAAAATGAGGTAAACAAAAGAAAAAGCATGTTAGTTACCGTTATGATTTTTAATCAAGCACATAGTCATGATTTACGAACCGTTGGCAGCATCGGAGCAAATAGCACAACTTCGTTTCTCTGCCGGTTTGCGACCCATCATGCAATTTGCTCAACGGTACTCTGAGGATTATGACGATGATGAATGAGGTGTTTTGCTTCAAGTCAGAAGTCTTGACTCGGGGTGTCCTAACAGTTCACTTGTATTTTCACTTTACCGTCTGAACACTCAATGAACAGGAAGGAGCTGAAGTGAAAGTTGTCCTTCTCAATTTTTGCACTTGTAGTTCAAATTCAGCAGTTTTTTCTATGAATTCCTCTTTCTTTTCTGACAGCTGTTTGAAAGTGTTTGCCACTACTACCGCTAAAGCCGCCACCACTTCATCAATCGATCCGTCAATTGATTCTAATTCAACGGTAGGTGCAATATTATTATTCAGAGGGCTGCTTGTTAATTGGATAGGTGGCAGTTGTAGTGAATGAGAGAATGACACTAAATTGGTATTTGTATGTGTGCTGTGCTCTGGTGCTGCTCTGTGTTGTGTTATGGCAAGGTGCAAAGTGCGACACTGTGTAGTGCAATTGTACAGCTCTGTAGAGGCAGTAGTAGCAGTAGCAATGACAATGAAGACCACAAGAACAGGTTTAAGGGTTTGTGGCGTGAGAAGGGACTGAAGGAAAAGAAGAAAAGGAAGAAAGGAAGAGTAGAGAAAGCTGCTGATGCTGTTGATGGCAATGCCAGTGGCTATCTCCCAATCTGCCAAGCAAGTTGCGGCTGTACCAGACGATCATACAAAGCACTTAGGAGTTGCGGGAGAGTTGTTGCAGCAGCAGCATCAACAGCACCAGCATCACTACTACCTCTACAGTGTGCCCAGAGACAAAGATTAGATAAGTGAGCTGCTTGGCTGTTGCGGCTATTTTGGTATTGGAAAACATAGAACAACGCCGTTGATTGATCATCAATTGGTGGTGCTGTTTTGTCTAGCTTCACCACAACTTTGACCAATTTGGCTAAATTGAGCTGAAGCAAGCAAACAAATAAACAAGAATCTACCTGTTTTAGAAGTCAACAAAGATGTGATGTGATGTGTGGTAAGGTGATCAAAAAAATTTCTTTACTTTGAAGTGTGTGTTTGTGATCACTCAAGCATGAGTACAATTGTGCAAAAAGAAAATTGATTTCTGTTTGCAGCTGATTAGATGATGCTGTGGTGGTGGTGGTTTGGTGGGTGCAACAAAACTACTAAGCATTGAAAGCACAGTAAATAATAATAATCAAAAAATAATTTGCTAAATTTTATTAATCTAACTAGTTTGTATTAAAACGCTTTCTCTGTGAGATTTACTTTCGGCCATTTATAGTCCATGCGAACATCGCTGATCCCGTTACATAAACTCTTGCAGTTATATTAAAAAAATTTAAAAAATGGCTTTTAACGGGTAATTTCCACAGTTTACTGGTGACTTGCAATAAATAATAAAATATCAGTTGGCATTTAGTGTAAAAATAAAAGAAAAAGGGGGAAGATAAAAGAAGGATGTATAACATTGTTTCAAATGCATTGCACTTTGTGTGTGTGCACTTTTCAACGGCAATTCTGCACATTGCCACACGTCTGCTTCACGGACTACTGCTAAAGGTTGCCAACTTAAAAATGCTGCTTTACACAATTTTGTTGTATTTAGAGAGAGGGGAAAAGTTAGAGGGCCGAGTAGACGTAGGTGCTGATGATGCCCACCACAAAGGATCCGAGAACGGTAAAGATTTGACTGTAGTTGAGGCCATCGAGTGGCGTCGGACCGGCCAACACTTTCAGCAGCTTCATCTTTCCATCAGTGTACGGCGGATAACGAGAGCTAAAATTTGTTGAGAAGAAAAAAGCATTAGTAAAGGATTAGCAAATTAAAAAAGTAAAAAAGTGAGATTTCTAAACTGCTAATTAACTTGAACTAGCTCAAGGTAAATTGGCTTATTTTTGCAATTACAGCTAAAACTCACACTACGTCAACATTTGCAACTATGTCACGACAGAAGCGCCACCATTCACAGCAGTAAGCGTTTTTGCGGCAAGTTTGTGCAAAACGCCAAAAAACGCTGCACCAATTTTTGACGTAGTGTGAGTTTTAGCTGTATTAGAAAAAAAGAAAACTTTCGTTACCTGGCAAAGTACTCAATCAGCGGGTTGTAATCCTTGGCCAGAACGGACTTTGNAACGCTGCACCAATTTTTGACGTAGTGTGAGTTTTAGCTGTATTAGAAAAAAAGAAAACTTTCGTTACCTGGCAAAGTACTCAATCAGCGGGTTGTAATCCTTGGCCAGAACGGACTTTGAGTGGGAGAAGGTTTCAAAGGAGTACGTGCCGTGGTACTTGCCAATGCCAGAATTCCCAATTCCTCCGAATGGCAGCGAATGCACTGTAAAAAGAAGTTAAATTTAAACTTTTAAAATCTCATCACAAAAACACTTGGCCAAATCACACTTACAAACCATCTGCATCAGCGTGTCATTTACACAGACAGATCCGCAGCTCGTCTGATCCAGAAACTTATTGACCGTAGGCTGCTTGTTTGAAAAGATGTACATCGCCAGCGGTTTCTCTCCTCGGTTGATAAACTGAATCGCCTCCTCCTCTGACTTCACCGGGACAATTGGCAGAATGGGTCCAAAGAGTTCCTCGCTCATCAGCGAATCATTTCCGGTGACGTTGGCCACCAGAGTGGGCGCAATGTACCGCTCCCCTTTGGCCGTCTGTCCGCCCACCACCACCTTGCCCTTCGTGGCCGACAGCAGCTTCTCCAGGCGGTCAAAGTTGCGGTCGTTGACGATCCGCGCAAAGCTGTCCGACTTGGCCGGGTCACCATAAAAGTCCTTTAGCACCTTCTTTGACGCCTCCACAAAGCGGTCCTGCACCGAAGGGCTGCAGAGGACATAGTCAGGGGCGACACAGGTTTGGCCAGAGTTGGTCAGTTTGCCCCAGAGCACTCGCTTGGCGGCCACCTCCAGTTGGCCCTCTACCGAGTCGTCAATGTACAGCGGCGACTTGCCGCCCAGCTCCAGCACTACCGGCGTCATGTGCTTTGAGGCCGCCTGGTAGACCAACTTTCCAATGTTGGGAGAGCCGGTGAAGAAGACCAGATCGAAACGCTCCTGAAGAAGCTGGTTGGCCACATCGGCGCCGCCCGTCACCACGGGGTAGCATTCCTAGGAGTTGAAAAAGCTGTAATTTGTTTGTACAAAAGTTCAAAACATTTTTGTTTACCTTATCCAGGTACTTGGGCAGCAAGTTGGCCATGACATTGGCCGTACTGCCGGCCACCTCGCTGGGTTTGATCACCACGCAGTTTCCGGCGGCGATGGCGCCTGCCAGCGGGGCCAGCATCAA